AGGAGGTAACGTGAGGTGTGACCGCCCGTGAGCACGATTTACCATTCGGGACGCGGCTACGTCGATCATAAAATAATTTTGGGTGAAGAATTAGAAGTAAATAGCTCGTACAAGACACACACAGCGCTATCGCAGTATATTATAAGCGTGCAACGAACACTCCCCCGCGTTTGTACACTTTCGACTTCAGACGCGGATTGCGTTCCCCGAATTCTCGACTAAGTTCATTGACGTTCTCGAACTTGAAGTCAATCACTATTGCAAAGGTGAGCGACATTCATAACCGTTTGATCGATAAAGTCTCCACCAAGGTACGCTATCTACTCGGTAAACATAGTCATCGTACCACAGAATAAGCACTGCATAAAATGCACAAAGAAATAAGCATAAAGCAACGACACTTCGCAACTGGTTTTGTTTGGGTTTCACTTTTAAGTATAGAGTTACCGAGCATCGTAAAATAAAACATTAAACGAATTTTGAAATAAAGGTTGTTGTTTTATTGCCCCAAATATAATTTGCATAGTTTCATAATAAGGGAAATCCGGCTAATTAGCGCGCGAATATGTTCCATCGGACGGTCAGCGTCAGCGTCATGGCTGGCTCGCAGACGTTCCTTATTCAGTCACAATAAACGTTTTATATTGCTACAGTCAATTATAGACTTTACTGTCGTATATTTCAGTAGTACAACGGGAACGTATATTGGCGATCATAAAAAAGTCTATATTCCGAATTGCATAATTCCCGAGTTAAAGGAGAGTCCATTTAAATAATGTTAACCTAAATCGGAAATAACATGTTATGCATCACGTTGATGTGAAGAATGCATAAGAAAGTACGCAGCTACTTAACATATTAATGCGTATAGTTGGTTAAGCTGTATAATTTGGACAAAAACACAGCGAAAGCAAAACAAAAGAATCATGAGAATTAGCTTACCATACGAGCAATATATTAAATCGGTTAAAGGACAATGTTGTAAATAAATACTTTAAAAGCAAAGCAGCGTTGCGACGTTAGTAGGCACCTAAAATACTCGTCGTCGATACGACGATCAATAAATTAAAATTAATTCGGCGTGCGAACGGTGAGATCCGATACGCGATACCGACGCCTACATTTATCATTCGCTAACACGTCGGACATTTCACAGGGCGCGTTCATCGAGGGAATGTGTCCTTTATGACAACGTACATAGGGATTATCGATGTCGTGATGATCGGGCACGTAATGATCCGCCGCGAGAACAAAGGATAACACGTCTAAATACAATAAGTGGAAGGGATAAGATGGCGTGCGTATTGGTGGTTGTAAAGGCGTCAACACACGCGCGAGAACGCAACTCGCATGCGGATGCGGCTGATGTCACGGCGTGCAAATAAACCGCGGCAGACTGGACGACGCTGCCCGTGTGACCTTGACGCGGCCCGGGAAACTTCTCACGGGGCCTGACACCTCTTTTTTATATTTTCAATTTGTAGAATTACCAGGTGCAACATATTTCGCTTTAAAACATAAAATAACAGTTTTTACTTATTAAAAGAAAACAATACATTTTCCGTTGACATTTATTTCATAATTTAATTCCATAGAAAACATGATTGCTTTTCATTAAAACGCATGTTGACGGTGCAATAAAATCACCTAAGTCTAGGGTTATAATTATTACGAGTTGTAACTGTCACCGGAAGACGTCACGCCGGGCACAACACACATTATAGTTTATTACGTACATATGCACCAGTTACGAGGCACTTTGGGCCGTAAGGGGCAATTTTCGCCGCAAGCGAGGAGCATAAAGGAGGGAGCTCGGTTTCAGTGTAACCACGCCTTAACGCTTGTGTGGATGCAAGACCAAGGGGCGGGTTAATGGACTCAATGAATTTTTACTGGTATCCAATATGAATGCGATAAATTAGGCCCTCACTCCTAAATAAAGTGCAAAAAATAATTTCCATTGCCACCCATACTATTAATGATCTCATACCATATTCATAGTTAGTTCCATAAACATTTTTAAAGAGACAAACTACTGTTCTGCTATATAATAAAACTATACATACAGATGTTATATTGAATCGGAGTTACCAAACTATGATAAATAAGTGGTAAAGCTCGGTAGCAAGCTACTACAACCACTCGCAGTAATTCAATATGCATTCCAATTTTGATTTCAAAATTTCAAAAATAGAATTCGGCCATAAATATTACTGGTCGCTTGTTTTTGGCAGGGGACCAAATACGTTGCTATCTGCATCAGAAAAAGCCCGCGTAAAAGTGCAAACCAGCCAGTAGTTTAATTATTCTTAACCCGCTCGATGAGTATGTGAAAATTTCGCGAACCGAAAAAATCCGAAGGGTTAAAAAACCGTTACAGTAAATGCATAAGGCGGGTGTACATCGTCAATTTGAACACCAGTGTTAGTGCCCTGTGGCGCGGTGATAAGATCTCTCGCTGCATCTGCCGGGGGTAGTCACATGGCAAGGGCCGGGGTTCAATTCCGGTGTTTTGTTTCGGCGCCGTCTGTGGGAACTAACGGCTTAACTATGATTGGTTTATGATTTGATTTTCGTATTTACTTGCCTTTAATTACTGTGTGAGAAATGGGAGAATGGGGAAAATTTTAACTAATGCTGATTTATTGACCCCTATGACGTTTGGGAATTGATTGTCATGTTTGCTTACGGGGTGTATACCTATATGTAAAGTTCAGATATGTTTTTGATTATGAACTTTTTTATGATTTATGAATAACATTGATAGGTTAAAACGTTCTGTTACAAAAAAATTGAATTTTCAAAAAAGTAACTATGTAGTATTGTAATCACTATTACAATTATTGAAATATTAATAATACAAGCTAGATCCAAAATTCTATTCACTAGAACTTCACATTGTCACAGAGATCTAAAGATAATGACAAAAGCGGATCTCCTAATTCAATTTTCGCTGTGCTCACGTACCTTATGTTTATAGTTTTTTTTCTATTAGGCCCTCGTGCTTGTAAAACACGAAATCCCATAACAATCAAGGCTTAGTGGTATACAAACTGCGTATCTAGTACAATGGCCGAAACTTGCAGCCCTCTAATGAATAAAAAGCGCTGGTGGCCACCCTGTACCAAGCTAACGCTGGAAAATCACCTCTATTGTAATGGTGTATGAAAACGGATTAAACTGTCGCGCTGGAACGGCTGTTTTGGAGAAGCGTGGTAGCGGCCAGGTAGGGCATGTGGCGAGATGGTGCGATAACAGGAATTATTCATACGCGCGTTATCGGTCCGCCATAGCAGGGGCTATTGTGAACGCGGCCTAACGCGCGAGGGGTGGCTCCCGGTTGTCGCGGACGCTGTCAAAACGTTGTTGTGTGTACTCGGCCTAATGTGACGCCGAACGGATTGATTATTGTTTTATTCCGTGTTGTTTGCTGTAATGACTCCGGCGCCCGATGTTCGATTATTTCACTGAAGCCCACTGCCGATGTTATCGACAGTTTAACTCGTCCAACGCAATTCGGTTCGGACAAACTGGCCCTCTAAAATAATTATGATAGCTGCAAGTTGAGGACCGATTGAAATCTATATGTTTCAATTGTCTCATGAATATGCCATAAATTATTCTTTTGTGACTTTATTTTTAAAAGTTTTATCAGATTTCCAGTCATTACAATCTGTCATATGATTTGGGGACACTGCCTCCGGTCTGATCGAAGGTTTTAGGTGATATTATTATATACTTATCAGATGTTACTAATTAAATATGTTCTTTCAACATTCACTGCTGGTAAGGTTCATTCCCCCAGCTGGACTAGCCATGACTAGGCCGCAATGTACGGGTGCCCTTGTGATAACAATCACTGATAATCTCAAACTGCGATCGACACCTGGATCGACACGATGCGGGCTTGTGTAGATATATCTACAACATTGTTTGCGACGAATTCATTGACGCAACGATACCATTTTATAATCGGCCAGCTTTGTTTCGGAAGGTCAAGGTATTAATTTATACTGCATTATCTCGTTTAAGCATCTGTTAGGTATTGTGAGTGCGCTGCAGCATAGCTCAATCGTATCTCATTGAAATCACATAGACATATGTTTGGCAGTACGTTGAGTGTAACTAGTTGTTAAGTACCCGCAGAGCGCCGCGGGGATGCTCGACCTCAGTGCCTCCTGCCGGCGTACCGTAGGGAATAGCGTGAAGGGATGCGCCCCTAACTGAAATCAACCAATCACCGAACAGTTCACGAACACAGATATCATTACTGCCGCCACCCTCGGCCAACAAATGCACACGTACATATGTTTGCTTTCTCTTCTATAAATAATCATTGACGAATGTTATTTCGGAAATTAAAATGGGGAGCGACAATACATGGCCATTTTAAAGCCCCGACTTACTGTCACAAGTAAGCTATACAAGATCCAAACGATGGACTAAACATAATGATCAAAACATTTACAAAGCGTGTATGCAAACTTATGAACACAGTGTATAATCAAAACTAACACTACCACGGTACATAATTAATGAAATTTCCAGCTGGCCTACAATTTTAATTGTTCGGTGTTGTGATACGCCGCTTTTGAAACGTTTCGGAAAAGTAAGGCCTTTTGTTCACGGACGCAGCCATCGAGACCCGCGTAATGCCTCCATTATTTGTTTATCAAATAGCCATTAGAACCCGGAATATTCATGATTACAATTACAATATTTGAGAATGAAGATGTCGTGTGAAAGACCAGTTGTTAGAAACAAATGATATTAATTTAGTTCAGCTCGCTGGGGTAACAAAACGCCTCCAAATTGTCCGCTTTAATGACAACAACTTTTGATGTTCGGACTCGTGTTACAATGACTGTCTATCGCAGGATCTAAGCGACGATAATGGTTACTTAAACGCTCGTAAACATGAGAGGTTTACGAATCAAATTGCGAAGGCGTCATTACTATTACGAGTGAGTCGATTTTGAATTGTCCGTTTTTCTGTGCAGGTCGAACGCTGAGCGGCGGCAGCGGGCAGGTGTGCAGGCCGCACTTCCACACGCCACTGCACCCCTGGCTCGAGTCCAAGGCACTGAGCGGTGGCGCGTGGGGCAGTGGCTTCCAGCAAGATGCGGCGCAGGCGGACAAACCCTTGTCACCCGCGCAGCATCACCACCCACACCCCCTGTTCTCATTTCCCCCGACGCCGCCGAAGGATTCGACGCCAGACTCCGTAGCGGCAGCAGCGCTCGGTCAACAGGATTACCAGGCGGCCGTCGCGCACGCCACCGCCATGAGCGTCGCTTTCATGCAGCAGCAGCAGGAGCTGCCGCTGTGTGGCGACGTGAAGCCCATGATGGGCGCGCCGCCGTCGAAGCAGCGCGAAGGTGCGCAGCCAGACTCGTGCCCCCAGGAGTCGAGCCAGCCCTCCGGGGAATACAACGCGCAGTACAACGCCGCCGGCGGCGACTACTACAACTACCAGGGGAAGGGGTATAGTGGGCAGCAGCAGAGCAAGCCGCGACCGAACAAGACGCGAACTAGCGCCGGTGAGTCCGCGGTCCGCACCGCACTGCACCGCTCCCGCTGCGTGCACTCACACACACCACTACGCCGCGCTTATCCGACTACGCTGCAACACTACGTCACTAACTAAAGATATCACTGTAAGCGATTCAGATGATCCAAATCTCTCGCTCACGATACCGACTGGCATTACGCCTAGGATAGCTTTCATTTAAATGGTCTCTAATCAGTTAATAAATCAAATACGCGACCATCCGCGGTCTAATAGAAGCCTTTACAGAATGGCAGCGGAGATATCCCGCGTAATTAGAATCTCTACAGATTGTCTCATCGACAATTGAGATATATTAATTCGATAAACGTAGCAAGATTAATATTTCATTTGGTTTCCAAATGGCATTGTCGAGTGATATCGTGATGTGTTCGGATAAGCGCGGCTCTTGCACCAGGGGTTGTGGCGCCTCACGAGTCTCTTACACGGTACTAGGGCTTGGGATCATGTCGGGTACTAACGCTTCTTCTTACTAACTACTCTGCGGTGGAGGTGTTGTACTAATGATTTATGTATTGGCTCTTTGCAGTTACTGGACGTGATAAATTCTCAGTTTGCGAGTAGCGGGTCGTGGTTGCATTTAGTTGAAAGTATAGTTTCGAAGCGAACTTAATCAATCTTCCGTCGGTGTATGAGAATAGGAATTCCCCAATTAACTTGTCTAATATATTTACGGTGTAAGCCGGAGCGGACGGGCGCTCTTCATTGTTACTGCGGTACATGTGAACTGCCGCGGCCTCGACTGATGTTGACCAAACAAACTAGACGTTTCTCATTATTTAATTGTGACCTGCCATTGTTTTCCAACTAGATAATTAAATAAATTCTCTTAAGTAGATTTCTATTAAGTGTTGTGACAATCTTCTAAATTAGAAGAACTATTCTTATTTACTTTCACAATCAAGATATTTCCTACTTAATTATTTTTGTAAAGTTAATGTATGTATGTGATGTATTCGAGTCCTACATAGAAGTTATAAATGATTGCAGTCAAACTGAGAGGTGACCTTTAATTGTTGGATGCTTTTTCGTAACGAGAGCACTCCTAGCCATTAGCCACGCCACATCATTGCGAACATAACACAAAGAGTTACGCAACACTAATTGTATTAACACCACATAATGCAGCTTTATTTTATATTTGAAAATGTAATTATATCTCCCGTACTTGTTAAACTTTGACAATGGACGGGAACTAAAATGGCGGCTTATTGTCTCATATTAGAATAATGAATGCGCAGATTTATGTACAATGACTGTTAATATAGACAGACAATTAAATAGTTCCCGTTACAATTATGTTTGTTCAATATTTTGTGAAATTTCAAATGGATTAGCATGCTGGTTCACGAGCGCGGCCGCATCTCGATTGTTATAATGGATTTCTCATGATATAATTAGAATCGTATTGAAAAAGTAGGCGCAGCGTTAATTGCGGCGGATAAAGCCATTAACTAAGTAGACACTTATTTATTCTTTTACACTTCCGTGTATTATGAAAATGTAAATCTCTCCTATTAATTCTTTTCGCGAATTCTTTTTTACGTGTTATCAAACAAAGATTATCTGTTGGGACTTACATGTCGACAGTAATTATGTACGAGTATTGTCTATTTTATTTCACATTTAATTTATCTTCAATTAACTAATAAATACTCATTGCGCAATAAATAAAATCATTGTTAAGAGAAAGCATAGATTAAAAATATCACTTGACATTTAAGTTGGCATAGACTGTAAAATTCTCCCACAGACAATTAATATTTTATTTTCGAAATGCAGATTGCAAAAAAATACAGCCTACGAAATACGTTATAAATATTCTTAAGTATTTAATCTAATTTACCCAATGTTACGCGTCGTTAAGTTTTTGTTAAACTCGACGTGTTCTTGATAATTGTCGTAAAAAACTCAATACACGCTCGCTATATAATGTATGTTTGTAATTGGAAATAGTTTATTAGCTCACTTGTTTAATTGATAGTAACACGCTGTCAGAATGATTTGTTTTTAATATATTTTTTTATAATTAATCACCATGAAAGAACGGTATATGATGTTTTTTTAATTGGTATATAGTAATTTATTTTTAGGGTTTTGTTTATATCGTTGGTGGTACTTAATGAGTTTTAAGTATGGTTTGGATAAGTTGTCAATTAGATAAGTCTTCACTGAAGGAATCTCAGTATAATCTTGATATAAGTAGTTATAGTAAACTGTCTATACTGGGTGTATAGTACATATGTAGGTAGCTATGTCGGGCAGTAGGTGGCAGTTCCTTGGTGGAAGTGGTATTATGTTAATGTGCGGCGGCCGGATGTGGACCATTCCATTGTGCTAGCGATCGCCTGACCTCGAGCCTCCTGCCTATTACAATATACGGACTTTAGGACAAATTAATGCAGCATTTCATAGCTACGTTCCAAGACTATAGTTCGCCGTTTTTGGACCATAGACAGTAGCCACTCTGATAGCAAAGATTGATTGTATTCATAGACTTCATAGTTCAAGTACGCATGCAAAAGATTATCACAGTCGATCGTTAAGTGAACCAAGGCACTTAAGTACTACAACCTTGATTCCAGAACATCGGATAATGTTTAGTACCTATCAGTTCTTTGTGCATTACGAATTAACGATACCAGATTAAGTACAACGTAGCATTTAGATCGAACAATCGAAAAATCGTGACCTAAACGTAGTTTGTATTTGAAGAATGTCATGGAAAGGGCAATTCGAATAATAAACGGTCAGTTCCAATACTAACCTGTTATTATACAAGCTATTTCTTAAACAGTACAATTCAACACTTTCTAAAACAATGTTGCGTTCACTTAGACTATTCAAATTATTCAATGATTTTGTGTTCAATAACAATTCAAATGCAGCCGCTTTGTTCGACTGCTAGTTAATCTGGCGATTATTTTCTTAGCGTTCTAAGGTAATATGGTATTAGACGTTGAAAGTAGATATTCGAAGTAAGCCTTCTTATAAATTACATTCATTATACATAGGTCTGACACAATGATGAGACTTTCTGTCTACCTGTCTGACCTGTCTCTTTGGAGTAAGAGTCGAAGCCGCACGAATATAGCGAGTAATCCGTGTGAAAATCTATAATTAATTAATTTTATCATTCACGTTGACAGCGGAACAGAAAATTTCGCGTGTATCATTCGGTTCGGGAGCCTGACTCGTCGCGTGATACAGCAACGCGCTCGCCTCGCTGTTGCGCAACCAATTAGCGGTGGCCGTGCGCCCGCGCCACGGACCGCCACACACCAGGAATGAGGCTCCAACCAACTCTTAATGTGTTATTATTTTTGCCTGACGACGCAATACTTTTTGTCCAGTTTAATACTAACAGACAGCACTAAACACAAATCATAAATCTTTCTCTCACGTTTCGACTTTGTTACTTATTCGCCAATTCGTTTACAGAACGTAGTCGAGTTATTGTATGAAGTTGGTGTCGTTAGGTATAGTAAATTCGTCACGGTCTGCCGACGCGTATTGTTGCCTACAGTTGCATCAACTTGAAATTTGCATTTTACGTTGGACATCCACGGCTTTTAGAACAATAATAAAATCAGAGAACTGATGTTACGCTAACTAACTTAAACACGCAGCATCCGATCGACTGATAGTTCCATGCAAATCAAAGAGCTAAGCGTAGTCTGGTTTTAGCAAAAAATCATAGCTAGGACCGGTCGTTGGATGTATGGCGCTACTCGGACATCACATGACCGGTACATAATAATTACATCGGGTTCAGTGCAAGTTGCTACTGAGCGGTATCGCATCGCTCGTCACACGTAATTATCTCGCAATATGCTAATAACGAATGCAAATACAAGCGGCCGACCGCCGCACCACTGCGCGCCGCCCGCCACTGCGCCGGTCCACAGTGCAGGCGCCGTGAAAAATGGCTTCATTCCTGATCACAGCTTGTTATCATACAGCACCACCAACTATCATCCGATACTAAATGACTAAACAAAAGTGAAATACAATTAGCCAGTCAATGACTTGTAACATCTCTTTTTTTGCTTTTAACATATTTCCTGGCAACACAATGCTCAATAAAAATAAACCTCGAGCGAAACCATCAGCTTCCATTAAACTTTTCTATTTGCATACAGGCATATAATTAAAGCGTAATAACAGCCTCTGTGGCGCAACAAAGAATAAGTTTTGAGCAATAATTTAATGGTTTGTATGCAAAATAGCCTGACCGTTACGTGTTGATGGGCCGATGCGCCGAGAGAGCGTCACGCTACACGAGAGCGAATTAGTCCTTCATTTAAATTACATTACCCTGATACACATTAACGTTATACGTGACTATGTAACAGTTTTTACTTTGTGCTTTCATCGAGCAGTAACGGGCCGGCTTCGTTTGTTTCGAACGCATCGATAGCTCTGAGGTCAACATCGCTCGAGTGGCAAGCTGCACTCTCAGCGAAACGCGCCGTGTGCAGTGTTTTCCCTACGCGGCGGGACTCGGGAGCGTGTGAAAACTTTGCGACTTCTCGATGGGCCCGAGAGCCTGGAGACTCTCGAAAAATAAAAACCGCCCACTCGCCTACGTAAATATGGCAGATGAAAATCTTTTATCGCGGTCACGTAGCGCCGCCGCGTCACGAGCGCACGTCACTCCGGGCTATAAAGAGCGCGCCGCATTCTAATTTTGAATAAACACTGGAATTTTTCGCTTAGCCTCATACGTTTTGCAGTAGATCAGGATAGGCAGTCTCTGCGGGGTCGTACCGTTACGGGCAAATAAAATGATATCTTTATGTCGGGTCTAAATCACGCGTGCCGGGCGGAGCTGCGGCCGCAGCCAGATCGTCCGTCAGGGGAAATTAAGAAATAACTCTTCGGTGTGAATGTATTAAAATGTTACCATTGGACCGGATCGAACAATTAAATCGTATAGTAATTAATCAGAACAGTGTTCTCTTTAATAATACGTGTAATGTCGATGTATGAGGGGCAGGCCGCTGTAAATCTTGTGAAACGTCGCCGCCCGCGGCTCCACGGGCTTTCACAAATGTTTTTACCAATAGAGACGTTACTAATGAACTAAATCCGTCTCTAAGCTAGAGACACTATCATAAAACATCGCGGCCCGTGTAATATCCTGTTATTTTTTCCTAATAATCGTTATTGGTGTTTATTTATTACAAACTTGGATACAAATTACAGGTTTTATCGATGTAACAAAAAATATAAAGGGTTAGTCCAAAAAGTGAGTCGTTGGCCCGATCGCAATAAGTTTTCGATAAAGTCCGGGCGATTTAATTGCCGGTTTTGATCTGGTTTTACATAAAAAAGATGAATGGCTGCACTGCCTAAAGCTCGTAAAACATTTTCGGTTCGTTTAACATATTTTTTTCTATCAGATATTTGAGCACTTTCACCTTCGTCGCGATGTTTCCCGCGTATTATTATTTATTCAGCGCGCCGGCCTGCTGCGTCTAGGGACTTGGATAATCAGATCTAGATACATAATAATTATGATACCTATTGATATAGTTCCGATCGATATGTTCGCCTCGAACCAGTTCTATACAAACATAGTAATAGATAAGTGCCGGCGGGTGTTTGTCACGCGTCCTCAGATTTCCCACACTGATTGTACTTAGTTTGTTATCGAACGCCTCTAAGGAGGATGCGAAGGTGTAACGAGCTTTTAAATTCGATCTCGGTAAATCATCGATCGTGTAATCGAGTTTAGAGAAAGATTGTGGGCGGTGCACGCGCATCCCATATGTGAACACATCCTCTCACTAACCATGTAAGCACTTTGGTAAAATTGCTTATTGTGATGTTTCAAAAATCGTTTAAACGAGTTTCCCGGAGGACGGCTCAGCCTGGGGTCAGATTTTGCATGAATTTATAAAGTAAACGCATGAGTAAAAGTTTCGACTTAGCATTTTATTTGTTTCTGTATTTCATCGCTTGGCTAGTTTGATGAATTAGGTGTCAAACGTAGAATTTATTGAGCGTACTTTTTTGTTTCGATTCGTTTATGAAGATTTGCAATTCAACTCGGTTCATGGATGAGGAGCGATGGCTTGCGTTTGAAATTGTTTTAGACATCGGTGTACAATTACACACAGCGAAAATTAGCATGTGGGTAATAGTTTATAGCTCTGGTTCCGCTCTGTTTCACACTAGACGCTCACCAATGTTTTTGCAACAACTATTTATTTTTGTAGCAACTCGCTTTTGTTGTTGCAGACGAAATCATGCGCCATTTATCTATCAAGTTGGATAATTACATTTTTATTTCCATACTGTATGAATGAGAACTGCTGTATAAGCATGTTTTGATTTTACATGAATTGATTCGTTGTTTTAATGTTTCTAGATTTTCAATATTTTTATTTTCTTTGCTAAATAATAATATTATTTTAAGGGCGTTCCACAATTGCCAGTCAAACTTAACAACCGATGCAAGCGTTACTTTCTCTTAGTTTTCCTTCGCGTGTAAAAAATCTTGATATTTTTTCTTCAAAGTGAAACTCGTCGCGCTTTCCCTAGTTAATTGAATATTTTACTATTTTTTTCGTAGTAATTGCAATTATGTTGATGTTAAGATAAATGTGTTGTGCAGGATGATGTAGAACATTTATGTAAGTGCTTGGTATTAGCATGCATTGTTAGTTAGTGAAATTATATTTGTAATGTTTCTGAATGTGATTTTCTCTCATCTTTCCCAGCCTGCCAGGAAACAGGTAATTCCACCCTTCCATACAAGTGCTACGTTATCCATGGTTTCATACGAAATCCGTTTTTATTTGGTCTTGTCTTTGGTTTTGGTGTCGCTTTACTACTTACTTTTGCTGTTGCATAAACACATTAACTATTATTTTTGTATGTAACAAACTCATTATTGCGCCATTTTTATTAATTTTAACGCTGTTATCATTTTGATTACCATACTTCTTTTGAAACCTCTTTGCAAATATAAATGTTCCATTTTCAAATTATGTCTTGAGCCTTTTCAAACGAAACTTGATTGTTTTTTTTTTGGTGTCGTATCTGACTATTTTGTCTACGCACAGAGGGACGAGAATGCGTCAACTGTGGGGCAACGAGCACTCCTCTATGGCGACGTGATGGCACGGGACACTACCTCTGCAACGCATGCGGCCTCTACTACAAGATGAACGGACAGAATCGACCTCTGATCAAGCCCAAGCGAAGATTGGTGAGTGTAAGAATCCGACCAATTTTGTTGTTTTTGATTGTTTGGGTAAACCGATTGGAGGAAGATAGCTAGATATATTTTGGGACCACAGAGTCAAAGTACAGTCATCTTCATAGTAATATAATCATAACATGATATAAATCTGACGTTTAGCTAGTGTGAAGGCATAATAGATTGGTCTACCCAGACAAGTTCTTAGACACTTTTTGGAATTCGAATAAATTATTAGTTTTACTACGGACACGTATCTGCTATAGTTCGTATATCATGAGTTAATTAACTTCCAGGCAGTTGTTTTGTTTTTCGTCTCGTAAATCTTAATCAATTCCGATTAAAACTTAACTGTGTGCATTGATTAACAACAGACTATTATTATAATTAGATTATCGTGCAACTGTGAAGTGTTGGCTCACTACGTTAGTTTTTACAACGGACGTTTACCGTTCCCGAGTACCTGTAAGCTCGTAGTTCTGCCGATTCAGTTTACGAGCGTAGATCATCATCAAATGGCCGTTTTATTAACATTCGGGCGCATTGTTACCCACAGTGCACCTTAGTACAAGTGTCGTGTGTTCGAGATAACATTCCTTCATCTACAAATAGCGAGACAATCCCAGAGAATGGGTGTTGTGTACAGTTAAGGGGCAGCAATAAAAAGGCGGAGCATGCGCGCCCGCGCACGACACCGCATTAAGCGCTCCCACAAATTGGGCTGTTATGAAAGTTGAACGTTTCGACGAAAGACCTCAGCGTCCACTAAACTAGCCTCCGCATGACCGCCATAAATCTTGGAGTTAACGTTTAATCTAAGGTCGGGTACGCATAAAAGTGAAACAATGCGACATACGGCCGGCTCGGTGTCACGTCAGCCCATGTCGGCTAACGAGTGGCCCGTGCGCGCAATTGTACGTACAATTTACCTTAATACCCGTCTCGCAGACATAAACTAGCGGAATGGCTCGGAATATTTGCCTTTTGTTGGCCAAATTACGTAATGCGAGCGTTATGATTTCATTGCAGCCAGCGCTATGGCTCCGGGCCACATGCGTATAATGCCGTTCCTGTTTAACGATTACTTAAATTGATAAAGTAAGTTAAAGTAACGTTTTTGTTTCCACAATAGTATAATAGGAGCGATTTTGTAAAACAACTTATACGAGAGCCGAGTCATGGTTTTTAAACCCGGATGTTCGTAACGCGGTTTTAATATTTAGATTCACTGTAGTGTGGAGAGATACCGTTAATGTGCTGCGAGGAAAGATTGAATTCTCACTTTTATTTTCGTTGTGGGAAATGCGAGACAATGCGCGCCTCTCGTCGCTGTCCGCGCTCTTGGCTAATCCTGAGGAACGTCTGCTAGAGTGGCACAATGACTCTAATAACGTTATTTACGAATCAAGATAACGTTTATTTTTATGGCGTTACAATAGCTCTAACTGCCGCTAAGTACCGTGCTTCCTCTAAGTACTACAGAATTCCGAATTCAACTTTGAAATACCTCCGATATCGCAACATGAACGTATCGAGCACCTCACTGGCTGTTAGATTTATCGATTGCAAAACAAAGGCCCAACCTAGTCCTTAGTTCGTGTCCTGTGCTAGCATTCAGATTCAGAGTTTACGAACAATTTTAAACATCAATCTGCAAACATTCTTATTAGAATTAATTAAAACTAAATTGTTACACGGCAAAATGGCGGCAATTAAGGCATTAAGAAACAACGGCCTTGTTCTAACTAATTGGACAATACGTTGAATATTTAATGCAAGCAGAATAATGAATTAAAACAATAATTTCTATTCATAATAATTAGACCGGTCCAATTATGAGCTGCACTTGACACGATTCAAAATTAAGTGGGAAAATTTAGGACAATGCGTGGACTAAATACAATTATTTTTCTTAATATTATAATGGTGGTAGCCTTGTACAAGACAATAGTGTTACACAAATATTACATTTGCGTAATCTCTGCTCTGAATATTGCACACATTAATTAACGAAATAGAATTATTATTTTGACTTTAAATGCGTCTAAATAGTAAGCGCATATTTGAAAATTGTACTTTGGCTGTAGGTCCAACTTTATAATAATGTAATTGAATTAAACATTTATAATAAAAACTCAAATGGTCGCGGCTACTATAAAACGAAACTTTCAAAACATGTTTGGTACATTTCTTCATAAATGAACATTTTTGTCAGCGGCTACTTTACCATAAATTATTTTTAATTACAAGAACTATATTCACATAAGCATTGAGGCTAAGATTAATTTGCTTACACAACGTCTGTCACTTCAATGTGAAATTAAAAATGTAAATAATGTTACGAATAGAAGCTGTTTTAAATGTATAAATATGTAAAATTGTAGATAAAGATCTTTTCTTGCCAAAAAAGTGCAATTTTCATTATAAATGTATTTGTTTCTGTTTAACTTTTATTTTTGGTTTCCAAGAAAGCGTTTAAGTTAGGTTAAGTTTTCTTTTTTATATTTAAAAAAGGATAAAACATTTTTTAATTTATGATTTCGTTCAAAAAGTCAGGATTATATTTTTCCTTATTTTTTAATTATAATTTAATACAACTTTTTATTACATGACGAATACGAAACATTATATTTCCTTTTTATGTGCATGGTCCTAACAGGACTTTGGATATTAACCTTATTTTTGGTACATTTAACTTTATGATATGAAATGTGACTTTTATTTAAAATTTAACATCGTCTAAAAACATCCATCATGAAATAAGTAATATAATATATTCTTTATGCAAATTGGACTTGAAAAAAGAAAAAAAATATATAAAAGCGTAACACATTGAAATCACAAAAATATAATTTTATATAAAAATCCTGTTCGTAATAAAAGACTTGATTTGTTTTTAACGTTGGAAGTAATTCATAAAAATATATTTACTTTGCGCATACTAGTTATGTCGGCGCGCTTTGTCTGTCCGGACTGACAACGTGTACAATAAATTGTATAAGTATAAAATAGAATTATGGAAAATAAAAGACTCTTGCGCATGCACCTGTATTTCTGAACAAATAAAGCTTCGTACCCACTTGACATGTATAAAAAGAAAAATATGAACAACAACTTTGTTTTTTTACGAATATTTTTTGTAGTTAGTGATTAATGTTAGGTAATTTCAATAAAATAGGCAATTATTAGATAGAAAATTGATTTAGCTAAGGGGCCTTCTAAATGTATAATTGCATATCCTTAGAAAAAAGTTTTTATTCATAGCTATCAGAGATTATGCAATTCCATCATATTTTCCTTTTAGAACATTTTTAAATTCAAATATTTAAAAATGTTATAACAAATTATATTCCATATGCCATAAAGTATAAAAAAAAGAAACATAATCTTTTTTTTACTCGGCAAGTGTACTCACACCTTAAGTTGAAAAGCAATAAAGCTGCGCAAACGCAGTATAAAGAGCTTCATACATTACGAGGGGTATCTTGCAATATATCGCCGGCCAGCTTGCCGGGAGCCGACAGAAATATAAGTGGACACTGGTGTTAACGTTATAAGCTTTTATTTGTGTGTGCTATATGCGCATAGATTTATACAACTCTATGTTTTAAGGTAAAACAGTTTTTTAAAAGAAAGTGATTGATACTTTTTGCGATTTTACGGTCATGATTCTTTGCCAGAAAATTAAAAACAGGTGTTCTTAAAAAAAAATTAATCTTCATAATTGGGTAGTTTCCTAGGTCAAAAATAAATTAATTCGATGTTTCAATATAATAAAATATTGAAAAATAACTATAATTTTTTTCATCGATCGATCGATACACCAAGTTTTAGATTTTTTTTAGCTAATTATTGTGAAATAAGTAAGCTATTTGACGCAAAAATGTTCTGACGTCAGAGCTCAGTTTTTCATAGAAAAGTATCGTTTTTGACGTTTGGATAAAAGTATTGAATTTGACTAGTTGGAAACTATCGTATTCTAATTTAAACTAGCAGCCGGCCCGGGTGCTTCGCACGGGTGTTAAACTATTTCACGAATACTTCCTTCCGATTTAACACTCTACATTCAATTTTTTTTCTTAGCCCTGTAGAAAAATACACAACAAAAAAAGAGTAGCAAAATTGGTCCAGGTAGTTGAGTTATGAGCTTACCAACCATTTGTTCATTTTTATATATATGTATAGATTTTGTGGTACTTTCACAGTCAAATTTCTAACTAAACAGATCAATCTATAGTTTTGTGTATGAAATCTGAATTTTAATATATAAAACAACTTGCTACCATTTCTGTATACTGTTAAAAGCAATAAACATTTCTCTTGCAATAGATGCGCAAGAGTGGAATAAAGTGCTACTGCAAATGGTGATAATATATGGAACGGCGATCGTGATCTATATACTTTAGTATGCATTCATAATATCTTACACATACGTAAAACTGGACTATTTATTTTCGTCCTTCATTTCAAGTACTTTAGAAGCTGTGAAAAGGAATTTGGAAGGGTTTCGTTGCCTTTTTTGAACCAAAAGTTTAATAGCAAATCAAAATTATGGTATAAAAATATATTTTTGTTAAACCACCACAATATAGGGCATTCATGGAGCATACATAAACACAGCACACAAACAAACACATATAATTAGGGATTATGCACGGGTAATAAACTAAATATCGGGGATTATGTAAATTTTAATTACAATAATATAATTAATACAGCGCTAGTTCCGTTCGTGGTCGCTTTGTATCTACAGAGTATTTTATAACAATGTTATATTATACTTACCGGCCATGACGGAAAACTTTCATTTTGATTGTTTCCTAAATTAGCAGAAGATAACATGAACGTTATGTAAAGGAATAGGATTTATCTATTCATTAGTTGATCTGTAATCATTGTTACAGTAGCCTTTTGTCTTAAGAATCCTATCTATTGAATAATATGTTTGTGATAAGTTTCTATAAGAGAAAGCGTTACAATTTCTTAAGTCATCAAGTTACATGACATGTTTCTGA